AGATTATAGTTTTGTTTATAGGTTATAGTTTACAATTAGATCATAGACTGTAATTTACAATTAGATTATAGATTATACAAAATAGTTTACAGTTAGATTATAGATTATTTACAATTAGATTATAGATTATAGTTTACAATGAGATTATAGATTATAGTTTACAATTAGATTATAGATTACAGTTTACAGTTAGATTATATATTAGTTTATTTAGATTATAGTTACAATGATATAGATTTATACAATTAGATTATAGATTATATTTACAATTAATTATAGATTATAGTTACAAGTAAGTTTACAGTTAGATTATAGATTATAGTTTACAAGTAGCTTAAATAAAATAGTTTACAGTTAGATTATAGATTATAGTTTATAATTAGATTATAGATTATAGCATATTTTGAAATACCGGTATATCAGATTCAGTGACATCTACTAAGTTGAGTTGAGAAGAAAATTTAATTTTGCAAGAAATTCGTTGAAAATGCAATACGGATGATATAAATTTATGTATCATTTCAAAGCGAAATAAAACCTCGCTGAATATAAATACTCTTTAAATTGTTATAATTTGTGGACATATAATATGGTATTTCAATTGTAATTTCAATCTTTTAAAAATTACATAACATGTACATTTTGATATATGCTTATAAAATGGATACTTATATCACTATGCACTTAGGAACTACTTAGAAGTTATTTAAGGAGAGAGAGAGGAGAGAGAGAGAGACAGAGAAAGAGAGAGAGGAGAGAGAAGAGGAGAGAGAGAGAAGAGAGAGAGAAGAGAGAGAGAGGAGAGAAAGAAGAGAGAGAGAAGAGGGAGAGGAGAGAGGAGAGAAAGGAGAGAGAGAGAGAGAAGAGGGAGAGGAGAGAGGAGAAAGAAGAGAGAGAGAGAGAGAGAGAGGAGAGAAAGAAGAGAGAGAGAAGAGGGAAGAGAGGGAGAGAAAGAAGAGAAAGAAGAGAGAGAGAAGAGGGAGAGAGAGAGGAGAGATAGGGAGAAGACAGAAGAGAGAGAGAGAGAGAGAGAGAGAGAGAGAGAAGAGAGAGAGAGAGAGAGATGAGAGAGAGGAAGAGAGAGAGAGGAGAGAGAGAGAGAGAGAGAGAGAGAGAGAGAGAGAGAGAGAGAGAGAGATGAGAGAGAGAGATGAGAGTGAGAGATGAGATAGATGAGAGATGAGATAGATAAATAAATAAAGAGAGAGAGAAAGAGAGGAGAGGAGAGGAAGCGAGACGAGAGCGTGAGAGAGAGAAGAAGAAAGATAAGATAAGAGAAGAGAGAGACTTTTTCCACGTGAATAATGTTTTTTTTTTAATTCTTTCTTTTCCTTTTACGCACAATTTCTATTGTTTAGACCAGGGACGTCTAACAAAACCCCTTTGAAGGACAATTTTCTTTTCAGCTACAAATTTAAGGACCAACTAAGAGAGGCCTCTAAAGATGGCTATCCAGGATTACGTTATTTGTATGTAATGTTTATTTGGATATGTGCCTGTATGTAATGTTTATTTGAGTATGTAACTGTATGTAAAGTTTATTTGGATATGTACCTGTATGTAAAGTTTATTTGGATATGTACCTGTATGTAAAGTTTATTTGGATATGTACCTGTATGTAAGGGATATGTACCTGTATGTATGTTAATGGTACCTGTATGTAATGTTTATTTGGATATGTACCTGTATGTAAAGTATCTTTATTTTTCTATAACGAAGGCTGAGTTTACGATTTTACTAAAATGGTTCATAGGCGTTGGGAACCGCTGATATATACTTTCTGTTTACTTACCTGTCTATCTATCAACCTAATCTTCCTTTCTTTCTCTCTCTCTCTCTCTCTCTCGCTCGCTCTCTCTGTCTGTCTCTGTCTGTCTCCCTCTCTCTCTCTCTCTCTCTCTCTCTCTCTCTCTCTCTCTCTCTCTCTCTCTCTCTCTCTCTCTCTCTCTCCTCTCTCTCTCTCTCTCTCTCTCTCTCTCCTCTCTCTCTCTCTCTCTCTCTCTCTCTCTCTTCTCTCTCTCTCTCTCTCTCTCTCTCTCTCTCTCTCTCTGATATATATTATATATATATATATATATATACATATATATATATATATATATATATATATAATATATATTATATATATATATACTATATATATATATTATATATATTATATATATATATATATATATATATATATATATATAATATATATGTATATGTATACATAAACAAACACATTTGCAACTCAACCTCACACCATAGCCAACCAAACCCACTGTAAAACCCTCCTCCCTCCTCCTCCCTCCCTCTCTCTCTCTCTCTCTCTCTCTCTTCTCTCTCTCTCTTCTCTCTCTCTCTCTCTCTCTCCCTCTCTCTTTGTCTCTGTCTCTCTCTTAACTTCTCCCTGCTTTCCCTCCTTCCTCGCCTCCTACCCCTCTTCCTTGCCTCACCCCTCCTCCCTCCTTCCATCTCCTCTTCCTTCTTGCCTCCCTTTTTCCCTTCATTCCTCTTTCCCTTCCTTCCTTCCCTCCCTCCCAATCTTCCTCTCTCCTCCATATCTTCCCTTCTCCCTCTCCTCTTCCCTCCTCCCTATCTCCCTTTTTACCTTCCTATCTTCCTCCCTCCCTCCCAATCTTCTTCTCCCCATCCTATCTCCCTTCTTACCTCATTCCCCTCCCTTCCTTACCTCTCTCCCTCCCTCCTCCCTCCTTACCTCCCCTCCCTCCCCCCTCCCTCCCCTCCCCTCCTCCCTTCCTCCTCCTCCCCCTCTCCTCCCTCCCTCCCTTCCTCTTCTTCCCTCCCTTCCCCCTCTCCCTCCCTCCCTGCCCCTCTTCCACTCCCACCCCTCCCCCTCTCTCCTTTCTCCCTCCACATATCCACACTCACGCGAATCAACATGAAAAGGAAAAAAGCCGACAATTAACTCTATAAGCAATAAAATTAAATGACACTGAAAGCTATCATTGTAACTAGCTGCCTGTCACCGCTCTGTATTTATTTGATAACAGATAAAGATAAAGGCGCCCTTGATGCTTCGTGTTGGTGGGTGGGGGGGGTGGATGGGGGGGGGGGTGTGTGCGTGTGTATGTATGTATTGTGAGTGGTGTGAGTGTGTGTGTGTTTGTTTGTTTTGTGTTGTGTGTGTGTGTGTGTGTGTTGTGTGTTGTGTGTGTGTGTGTTGTGTGTTGTGTGGTGTGTTGTGTGTGTGTGTGTGTGTGTGTGTGTGTGTGTGTGTGTGCGTGTGTGTGTGTGTGTGTGTGTGTGTGTGCGTTTGTTTGTGGTGTGTGTGGGTGGGTGGGTGTGGGTGGCATTAAAATTTAGACCAAAATCATACTATATATTAAGAAAAGCAAATGAATAGATATTCAGTAGAAGAAATGAATAAATAATAGACCGGTACGAACATATTCGAAACCGGTCAGATACATCTCTTGTATTGTGAGGATATCCATTCTCGTTCATACCTTTCTACATTTGTCAACATGAATACGTT